ATAGAAACAGCAAGTTATGAAATTTTAAACCGTATACCAGTAGTTAGGGTCTTCAAGGGTTTCAAGAAACTTGTCGATTTCCGACTTCTGAGCAGGCTTTAGAATTTTTTTGCCAGACCAATCATAACCTACGTGTCCGAATCCATCATACCAGCCGATCCGAACATTGCCAATCGTGTTGCGCAGATCCTAAGCAACGGAGCATTTAATGTGTTTAAATGGCATATCGTGAATTAACAGCACATAATGGTTGCTTACCTCTTCATCGCTAGAATCACAGTAGTCCCACCGAGGTGTAAAAGTTTGGTCAGCGCCAGTGTTGGCTACATCTAGCTTCGCTCTATGAACTGCAGAAGCATCATCAAGGGTGTCTCTTGTCGCAGGGGTCTCTTTTGAAACATCTGCCGCACCGTTCACCTCCTCGACGCCCATCACGATTCAGCAAAATACCGTCTTCGCAAATCGAACAGGAATTTCGACAAGCCCACGCAAAACAATCTGCAAATCACCCATCAGATTTGCCTGAAAACTCATAACATTCGGTTTTCAAGGCCTAGCCTTCAGTTCGTAACGACCGAAGCATGACGTCGCTCAGAGAGGCGGAATGTACTAATCTTAGCCGATAGACGGAAAAGACAGCTACGAGTTCTCATGCAGTGGGGAAGAGAGAATGTGACAAAACAGTAGCTATCAATCGCCTGCTTGCCAGGTTTCTGTGACATTACTTTAATCTTGACTGGCTTAGCAGCAACAGTCCGATAAGCCAACTACAAGTTGTGCAGAAGAAATCCATGTAAGCACCTTCCACGACTATCAAATTACTCAAACTCGGTTCAAGGCTAGATTTGCTCTACACAACTGAATCATCTTATTACAGTCTGGCCTTCATTGAAAGATGACAGTAATCTCAGAAACCCAGAACAGCAGAAACGGTTCAGTTGACTGCAAATAGCCCCTCCGTCCGGTACTCAAGAGTGCAAACGCGTAGCATTCTTTATCCATGATACCTGGTTTAACTAACATTGCTCCTAGCTAAAGAAAGGCAATTTACATACTGGATTGCCATCAGTGAATTTCAAAAAGCCTTTTGAAGGGTGAAAATACTGAAAAGGGGAGAACACGAAAATCGTCCTGAAAAAATGCTTTCTCAGCAATGGTATACAGCCTCGAAACACACTCTTCCGGGGATGACAAGCTTCATTAGATCATTTTCAAGCATCAGTTTGTAAACAGAGAAAGGCGACCATTTTTGACAGGTTATGATCGAATATGATTATGATCACTGGACTGAAAAGAACTGTCCCAATAATTCGGAGACTAGCATCTAAACTAGTCTAACAAACTGTAATAAAAAAGAGCGCAAGCTGTCCAAAACTTTCCCTTTACGGAAACTATAAATCTGTTGCAAATGCACTGGAGAGGAAAGCAAATAATGGAAGCATCTAGTATATATAGACCAAACTGCGAAAACGAACGTTGCCTTTGTCGCAACAGATAGCGCCAGCAAAAAAACCAGTACCCAACGTTTTAACCAGTTCAGACAGAGTCAATCTAGGCAACATGACCATATAACGTCGGCGCAGATACAAGTACATGGTCACAATAATTCCCATTTGCATGACTTACGTTTGCAAGCTTATATGAATTACCTTCGCAAAAGCCAAAGTATGCATTACATGGAAACACAGAGTCCACCGTATTTGCCTGAATAAAATTCAACAGCCCATATAAAGTGCAACGCTAAAAACAAGCCATTAGGCATTAAACATATTTAGATATTTAGCAGTAATTGGAACAGCTTAAATTCTTCGAAAAAATCTGCGATTCACTACGATGATTCGATAAGCGAATCGATTTGAACGGGCAACGGCACATTTATTTTCTTTAAGGACTATAATGTTGAAAATCATAGCAGTGTCTGCACAGCAACTTCCTTCCTAACAAACAGTGCATCAAACAATGCATGCACAAATTATGAGGCTATTTTTGATCACTGAAGGAATTATGAAAAACGCGTACTATCAAACTGCATCCTTAACACGGTGCGAACATGTACCTGTGGGTATGATATCTTACTGTATGTGTTACACTTGATTGTTGATTGCAGTTTGTTCGGGGCAGGATGTATTCGATAGTTCGAAGCACGTTGATGACCAGTATCAGAATTCCTGTGGTTCGTGTTTGTTCAGGTACGTTTATTTGTAGAAAAGTGGAAAAGTCCATTTTCCCTTTAAAGGGTTGACGAAACTATGCAAATTTGCGCGTTATTTTTCGCGATCAGAATTTATAGAATTGTCGCGCCGTATGATGTTTTTTTGTACATTTTTCGATGTTTTGATCTGACTTAGCCGGTCATTCCCTTTGCATTAGTTTGCCTCTGCTGTGCAGTTGGCAAACAAGGGAAGGTAAAGAATTCGCGTTGTTTTCCCTGTGTGGGAAGACTGATATATACGGTAGTCTTGTAACTTGCGAATATGCTTTTACTTAGAGCATGTTGTTATCGTTGCCACCAATGGCAAACAAAAACTGAGCAGCGGAATTTTTCAGATTGTTGATTTCTAAGCCGGTCAACATGATGTGCCAGGTTTACTTCGCATATGCCGAAAATAATATTCACAAATGATTCCGTTCAAGCATTTAAATATTAACACATTCTTTTGCTTTTACGGACAGGGTCTATTTATCGTCCGTAGGAGGTGAAAAAGTCTTTTTATGCTTTAGTATGTCAAATGTCGTATAACTGCTGAAACCTGATCTCGGAGAAGTTGTGATTTAGTATATAAAGAATCTACGCTCCATGTCGCTTAAGAAAAATTATGCGAGCTGCATTTGGCATTCAGTGGTTCAGATATCATGTAGTTGTGGCTTGCTTAAATGGTCCTCCCCCTAGACAACTAGGAGCTGGGGCAGTGCAGTACGCCCTGAGATCTGATCTTGGGGGAATTATGCATGATCTAAGCTAGGGCTCATAGATCAGATGATGCCTTCATGTAACGCCTGTCGAAATGAAGGTCATTCTGAGTACAAAGTCAGTCATAAGAGTTGAGGATTGCGCCTTCAGTACTGATTTTAAAAAGAACGATTAAAATTTTCTTGCGCCATTTAAAAACAGTATGCTTGCAAACTATTTTGTTTGAGAATAATGATTACCGATAAACTGCAGTTTGCTGACTATTTTATTTCGCATTATATGGGCATCTGCATAGATAGATTTATCTAGCGCTATTTATTCGCTAGAGCAGTCTCTTGTGATGTTTCAGAAGCTGGTTCTCCTTAGGTTGATTCATACTTAACTACAAGCAGTTTTACAGCGTGAAATTCATTTTTGAACAATTTTAACGTCTTTTGATACACTCGAGTACGAACTCATGTTGCTGATGTTTATACGTCAGCGTCAATGAATATCAGCTCTGAAGCAACAGTCATGATGAGCAGAGCACTGCTCTAACGTGCAAAATGATGTAAGATGTGCAATTACCAGGCAACCATTGCCTGTTTAAATGCTCTCAGGCAATTGTGAGCAAGGGACAGTGCAACCCGCCGTTAAATATGAAGGGTTAAGCGCTTATTAATACCGTGGAATTAAACTGCCTAGTCACACCATGAAGATGTGTGAGAGGTTGTTGGACAAGAAATTAAGGAAGGAGGTCGACATCACCACCAACCGATTTGGCTTTATGCCAGACAGATCAACCACGGATGCTATCTTCGTTTTAAGATCAGTCCTCGAAATATACAGAAAAGGCAGACAAGACATTCACATGGTGTACCTAGACCTGGAGAAAGCCTTTGACCGATTCCCGAGGCAGGCAATCTGGTGGAGCATGAGAAAGAAGCTTGTGGCAGAAAAATGTGTCAGGCTTACCAAAGACATGTGTGACCGCGTGACAACGATGGTCCGAAACACATGCGACGAAATGGAAGAGTTACCCTGTACGGATAGGATTCCACCAAGGATCCGCACCGAGCATATTTCTGTTCTCGATGACGACAGACACGATGATAAAGCATCTGCAGGAAGCAGCCCCATTTTGCGTGATTATGCAAATGACATTGTGTTATGCAGCGAAAGCAGAGAAGCTTTAAAATCAAAAACCGATGCATGGAGAACAGCTCTTGAGAAAAACGGCCTTCGACTCAGCAAAGACAAGTCAGAATATGTGTCAGTGGAGAAAACATTTTGAAATCCGTCAACCAGTGAAAATAGCGGGCAGCTTGCTGCCTCAAACCCAAGAATTCAACCATCTTGGTTCCATCAGACAAGATCTTTTG